CCATCAAGGCTAGTTTTCGCACTTAATCACCTACAAGGCTAAATCATTACAAACAGTTTAATATAAGTAATATAGATTCACTATTGACACGGTTTTACAAATTGTATTATATACAGAAAGTTTGAAAGCAGACAATGTAAATTGTAGAATAGAAGATTGCAACTATTTGTCATTGCATTTCCCAGTACATTCGGTATTTGGAAGATATATAAAAATCAACACGAAAATCTGATAGGTACAGTACTTTTATATAACAGGTGTGACATTTGAGCTAGACAGGTCTACGTTCTTGCAAATATTACTGGTATATTAAGTAGGAAAAAGCAAAAATTATTTTTTCTAGTTTTTGTGGAATTACATTTTTTTATTCTTCAACACTGAGGTCGGGAAAATCACTTTATTTTGCAAAAATTGTTAACGTAATGAAAGAATAAAATCGGCTCAAGACGGATATTCAATTCATAACAGTAATGTCAATATACTGTGTGCTTATTTGTTTCGTCGACATTTATGATAAAGAACTTAACACTTTTCTCTGATAATGACAAAATAAGAATTTCTATTGGTTTATAATTACAAATCAAATTTATCCATTTGTGATGAATGTGAAAAAAACTTCCAGCGTTAATTTTTCTGGAAAAACAGTTGTCTGTATACAATGGTGAAAGATCTACTTCTTTTTGACTATTACAAATTTGAATACTGTTTTTTTCAGTTGTAAATTGGCTAGAAACCTGCAATAATATTAATCTAAATATTGTAAGACTATTTCTGGACTTTTACTTTTTTTTCCTTTTCTCAAAAACTTTTTTTTTAGCGGATACAGACTGTACGTTACAGTGAATGCAAACGACAAGAATGAACACCATTTTCACTATACGTTTTGAAAAAAACAGAACAGAGTGTTGCCGTTGAAGCAAAGTAAATTAACGAATTTGGAAATTTATTTCTCAGTGGCTGTCCTGTTGAAAATTGAACGAAAGTTCACAAGTAAGAGTTGTTTTGATATGCTCACCGATATGCACTTCTCAAACATTATCAAAAATTAAGGTTTTTCAGTCTCCTACAGCTTTTAAAAAGACTTTAGAAAAGCTTTATCATTTTTGCTTTTTCAACATCGCCTAAAACTTATCATTAATTTAGAATGATAGATTACAGTTTTTTTCTAATGTATTTGTTCATCCATTACGGTATTTTATATCTGCTGTAAAAGTTGGAAATCAACGACGATTAAAGTCACTTTGTTTATGTTTCTATCTTTAAGAATCATTTGTTTTTCTGCAACTTTTTTTAGGTTTTATTTTTTATTTTTTAGTTAAAGCTGTTTGAGAATTGTTGGTTGCACTCAAATTTTTCTTCTTTTTCTTCTGCAATCTTCTATTAGGTGGTGGCAAAGTCATCAAAATTCTCCTCTCGCTGTTTCTCCTCCTTTTTCTCCTTT